GGGGGCGGGGGGGCCAAAATTTTTTTTTTTTTTTTTTTTTTTTTTTTTTTTTTTGAGAACGTTTACCTTTTCCTCGTTGCTTTGTTTTCTTTCTGTCAGGGCTGGTGAAGTTTCAGCCGTCGCTCTGGCCGTGGGACTCGGTGCGGAACAACCTGCGGAGCGCCCTCACGGAGATGTGCGTGCTCTACGACGTCCTCAGCATCGTCAAGGACAAGAAGTTCATGACGCTCGACCCGGTGGTGCAGGATCCCCCGCCTGCAAAGCAGGTAGGGGCAGCGTCTCACGTAGCCCTGTGCAGGATCACAGCACGGCTGAGGTTGGAGGGAACCTGGAGCCATCATCTGTTCCAACCCCTTGCTCAAGCAGGGTCAAGCGCAGCAAACCGCCTGGGACCCTCTCCAGGCTGGTTTCAACATTTCCTGGAATGGAGGTACTAAAGTATAAGTAGCTTTCCCTTTTCTTTCTTCTAGAATCCTCAGTTTTTACAGTTAATCTCAAAAAAGAAGTCGTTGGCAGGAGCAGCCCAAATTCTGTTGAAAGGAGCAGAAAGGTTATCGAAATCGGTGGCGGAAAACCAGGAAAATAAACGGCAAAGAGACTTCAACTCTGAACTGCTGAGGCTGAGACAGCACTGGAAATTGAGAAAAGTGGGAGACAAAATTCTTGGTGACCTCAGCTACAGAAGTGCAGGTATATAGCAGTATTTTTTTTTCAGGAATTAATCTTTTTTGTCTTAATAAGTAACTTTGATGACTAAAAAGAAAAAACACAATTGGGGTAAACTTATTTATTGTAGATAACGAGAAGATTGTGACAATTACAATTATGAAAAGGAGGAGAAAGCTTCTTTTATTGACCCGGGAAAGTTATTTTAAAGGCCAAGTGTGTGTTATATTAATAACAATACTGTTAAGGAGCAGTTCTGGTAATGGGGTTGATGAGTCAACACGCAGAAATTGTCAAGCTTTGGCTTTTTTCCATGTTTTCCAATGAGTATCTTGCATTCTCAGCTACAGAAGTGCAGGTATATAGCAGTATTTTTTTTTCAGGAATTAATCTTTTTTGTCTTAATAAGTAACTTTGATGACTAAAAAGAAAAAACACAATTGGGGTAAACTTATTTATTGTAGATAACGAGAAGATTGTGACAATTACAATTATGAAAAGGAGGAGAAAGCTTCTTTTATTGACCCGGGAAAGTTATTTTAAAGGCCAAGTGTGTGTTATATTAATAACAGTACTGTTAAGAAGCAGTTCTGGTAACGGAGTTGATGAGTCAACAGGCAGAAATTGTCAAGCTTTGGCTTTTTTCCATGTTTTCCAATCTTACATTTTTTTCTCTGTTTGAAGACACAGATTCAGTATCCTAAATTGTGCACTGTTGACAATTGCTACCGGCCCCACCAGAACATTACTAAGTAAGCTATAGTAGGAGGAAATAACCCACCCAGAGTTCTGAAACTAGGTACAGAACACACATTGGATACAAAATCTCACCTAAATTAGCGTGTAGATACAATGCAGATCTGTGAAGTAACCTATGTGAGAATCCTATTGATGGAGGAGGGAAGACAATTTAGGCTATTATTCCTTTTTGTGTTAAAGAATAACTTGTAGCCTCGTGTGTCCCCTTTTTTAAGACTGTCCTTCTGAACTAGATGAACTATGTGGAAGGGGGGTATCTAGGTCAGGTGTAAGTATCTGCCTCTGGCAGCCCCACTGGAGTTAAAGCACTATCGTAGTTCTAGGGCTGCACGCAGCTGCCTTAGCAGATCACTTTAAATCGCTATTTATGTGAAGTATGTATACCTTTAGCTGCCTGCTGGTCAAAATTCAGGCACTAAACATTTTTTTTTTTTAAACCAAGGAACTTTTTCCTTCCTTGAATCTGCTGGCATGATTTTAAAACACTGTTTTTGTTCTGTAGTTATGCTGTTTGCTAACTTCCTACATAATATTGCACACTGGAAGGCTGAGAAAATGCTGCACTGAGCAGAGCTTTCTTATTTACATAGGTCTTTTTTAAAAGTAATTTGAGTGTTATCTGTGAAGATATGGAGACTTACACTATTAGTTTCAGAAAAATATGTATTTATGGGCTTCTTTATTTGCAGAAGATGCTATATAGCTCTATATGTGTATTTTTCCTCTCTTACTAGGCTCCCTTTTCCTTCATCATGGCACCTTTGAGGTGATAAAGAACACTGACATTGACCTGGATAAAAAGATACCTGAGGATTACTGTCCTCTGGATGTTCAAATACCAAGTGATTTGGAGGGATCAGCCTACATAAAGGTTCGTTAGGAACTTTAGTAATATGATGTGTTTGCTCTTTGTACACTTGTGATGAACAAACAGCAAATAACCTTCTCTTTCTCAGGTGTCCATTCAGAAACAAGCCCCCGACATTGGTGACCTTGGGACAGTTAATCTCTTTAAAAGACCCATGCCAAAATCAAAACCAGGTATGGCTCTATGTTGTCCTTGATGCTTCCTATGCATTTACTGCATTTTAAAAATAAAAATCTTAAAGTCGTATCCGAATATTCTGGAGTCCCTTATGTGCTTGAGCACATAGCTGGAAGTAAAGCAAGTTCCTTTGGTTCAGTCAGTTACATCCCATTAGCTCAACTGAACTAATTAACCACCTGCTCATTCTTAATCCTGTCCAAAAGGCATTGTGCTTTTTGTTGGAGCTCGTGTTTTTTCTCTGAATTTGAGACCGTGCTGGCAGCACAGACACTGACTACAACAGCTCACTTGGCAGAGAGTAGCTTGGTTCTTTTGAAACAAGCCAGTATCTGAAGCTGTTATTTTTGGGATTATGAACTAATCCATAACTGTTTAGGATTGAAAAGAACTTGATTCTGGCAGGGATTTATTTCCCAGTGGTCTGTGATTGCAGTTGCTTGTGCTATCTTGAAAACAGAGAGGGTGCTGTGTTTTACATGAAGATGTTTTACGTGACCTTCAAGGTACGATATAGAGCTGGTGTGTTTATTCAGACCAGAATTTTCAAGAATTTTGCACTATAACAGCAGGGGGTTCTGTAAGTAGTGTGCACAGAATTCTTTGAGAATATAATGTGCAGTTCCAGAAGGCAGTTGCAGTTCACAACATACGTAGATGTGAAATTTACTACATTTTTCTTTTAAGTTTTGTTTCTTTGTTTTTTAATTATGCTTGACTGAGATAAAATTGTAAAAAGATTCAGTTTGGATAGAAGATGCCGACTAGCTTGTTATTTTAACTGGTCTTTTAGTTCAGTGCCCTATAATAACTGCTCAGGACCTGAGACCTGGAGAGAGGAAAAAAAAGTAGCTCCTCTGTTTTCTTCTGATTGAAAAATTTACATTTTTTAGGTTCTCCACACTGGCAGACAAAATTGGAGACTGCACAGAATGTTCTCTTATGTAAAGAAATTTTTGCCCAACTGTCACGAGAAGCTGTTCAAATTAAATCACAAATTCCTCACATTGTTGTGAAGAATCAGATCATCTCCCAGCCTTTCCCAGGTAGGAGCTTTTATTAAATGTCATCTTGTCCTAAATATATGGAAGCAGAGGATTATATACTTAAATCCATACTGTAATTCTGATACATGTCACTTTTAAGGAAAGGGTGTTAATAGCTTTGTTCTTCAGAATTGTTGAAAAATGAGATCTCCTTGAATTCTGAATATGATTTTTTGCAAGTAGTTATACAAAAATAAAACTAATGCACTTTATTTCTCAATTTATTATTATTTTTAAAATTGTTTCATGGCTTTTGTGTTTGTTTTTTTTCAGTAGTAGTAGTATTTAAAGTTGTCAGCTGCAATGCTTTGTGTAAACTGCAGTTTGTGGCTCTGCATAAGTCATTGCTCCTGAGCTGCGTGCAGAGAAAACTTCAAATTTGATTTGGGTTAATGGACTTTCAGAAGAACTAAGGCCCCCACTTTTTCATGGTTAAATAACATGAAGGTAGCTCAGAGTTGGCTGATGAATCCTCTATTCCTGTAAGGGGTTTATGAGCAGGATATCATATAAAGAATATATTTCTGTATTCCTAAATCTATATATGGTGGTAAATCAATCCTCCTATGTATTAATTGTGGGACTCTCATTTTTTCAGACGTGAAATACATCTATTAAATTGGTAGTTGGTTTGTCGATCCTTCAGGGAATATCAAGTCTTAGCTGCTCTTGGTGCCCTATTCTCAGACATCGTTGTTGGATTTTTTCTGAACCCATCAATATAGTTATAAAACCAATGACTTTAAAAGGTGAAGATGTTCGTGATGGTCTGCTTGAAAATTGTCATTTTTTTCTTCACTTGCTGTATGCAG